GGACCACAAAAGTCTCCCATTCAGTTCTCTGTGATCTTGATATTTCCCCATAAACCTGAAGAATAGATTTTGAGGAGAGTGAAACTATGCAAAAGCAGAGCCTAGGTCCCTGAATCACTGCAAAGAAAGCTTCTCATTGAATGTCCTCTGTAAGCAAAGTGATTGAGAAATAAACCTCTACTTTCTTCTACCACTGACACTTCAGAGGCTATTTGATTTAAACCTAGCATTATCCCAAATACTATACTTTGCATATGTCATTTTGTTGCCACGCCCACCCTGTTATATCTGACTACCAAAATGTTTAAAAGTCCATCTCAAATGCCAATACTTTTTCTAGTCACCCACCCCAAATTATCTGCCCCTTGTGTAACATTAAGCATCTCTCTTTTTATTCTTTTATAACACTGATCACATAGTATTTAGTAATATTTGTGTTCATATTTTGTCTCTACAGTGGACTTTATGCTTCCAAAAGGCAAGATCATATTTATTTCATCTTTACATGTCCCACAGTTTCTAGTAGAGTGTGTTGTACACAAACACTGTATACATATTGAATTATGCGGATAGTTTGTATTACACATCATCTCCCCTAAATCCCTAAATCACCTCTGCAGTAGAGGGCCATCAAGTTGGTCCTACTGGTGGATAGTTTGTGTATTGGAACCTGATTTTTCCATTCTTGAATGCTATCTCTCTCTGACTCCACCACCTTTTCTCTGTCCCTTTCTTGGACATGCCTATAGGCAGCACTCTTTCTTAAAACTTCTTCTTAAAGCTAAATTATGTCCATATAGAATTTCCCACTTTTTACTGATCTTTGGTTCAGAAAAACAATTTTTGTAAGTTTATTTGAGAGAGAGCACGAGTGGGTGAGGGGCAGAGAGAGAGAGAGAGAGAGAGAGAATCCCAAGCAGGCTCTGCACTGTCAGCACAGAGCCTGACGTGGGGCTTGAACTAACAAACTGTAAGATCATGACCTGAGCTGAAATAACCAGCGGAGTGACCCAGGCACCCCAGAAAAAAAATGTTAAAAAAAATTCATCACAGAAGCTCAGCAAGTAGCTGAACTCCTACCTGGTCTGATAGGAATGAATCTCCCATAGCTCCTACCTGGTCTGATAGGAATGAATCACAGTACACATCCCTAGCCATACTGTCTTCCAGTACTTCGCTTTTCATCCAGGGCAGTACTTCCCATATATACAGGAAGTCAAGTTAGGGGTTTTTTTCAATTTTTTTAATGTTTATTATTGAGAGACAGAAACAGAGCATGAGTAGGGGAGGGGCAGAGAGAGGAGGAGACACAATCTGAAGCAGGCTCCAGGCTCTGAGCTGTCAGCACAGAGCTGGACATGGGGCTCTAATTCACAAACCGTGAGATCATGACCTGAACCGAAGTCAGACGCCTAACCGAGTGAGCCACCCAGGCACCCCAGGAAGTCAAGTTTTATTCCCTAGTACTCCCATAGATGGCCAGCTATGTTTCACTGTATTATCAAGCTTATTGACTTCTCTTAATCTTCTCTTATCTCTTCTGAAATCTAATCTCAACATGAAATGTTGGAGTAGTATTAATCATATCCACCACCATAAGATTACACAGTTTTGTGCATATTATGTCATTTAATACTAATTGTAACCACATGAGGAAATTATTAAAATTAATAATTTTCATATGATCCAGCAATTCCTTTGTATATCTGAAGGAAACAAAATCACTATTTTTTTTTAATTTTTTTTTTTCAACAGAGAGAGACAGCATGAGCAGGGGAGGGGCAGAGAGAGAGGGAGACACAGACTCCGAAGCAGGCTCCAGGCTCTGAGCTGTCAGGACAGAGCCTGATGTGGGGCTTGAACCCACAGACTGTGAGATCATGACCTGAGCCAAAGTCTCGGCGGCTTAACCGACTGAGCCACCCAGGCGCCCCCAAAATCACTATTTTTAAGAGATAGCTGCACCCCTGTGTTTATTGCAGCATTATTTACAATAACCAATACATGAAAGCAACCTAAGTGTCCATCCATGGATGACTCAATAAAGAAAATACACAACAGAATATTATCCAGCCATAAAAAGAAGGGAGCCTTGCCATTTGCAATAACATGGATGGATCTAGAGGGTATTAAGCTAAGTGAAATAAGACAGAGAAAGACAAATACCATATGATCTCACTTATATGTAGAATCTTAAAAAAAAAAAAAAAGGGACTCATAGATGCAGAGAACAGGTGGGTGGCTGCCAGAGGTGGGTGTTGTGAGAGTGAGCAAAATGGGTGAAGAGGGTCAAAAGGTATAAACTTCCAACTATAAAATAAATAAATCCTGGGGATTTAATGTATAGCATGGTGACCATAGTTAATAATACTATGTTGTATATCTGAAAGTTGCAAAGAGAGTAGATCTTAAAAGTTCTCGTCACAAGAAAAATATTTTGAACTATGCATGGTGAGGGATGTTAACTAGACTTATGGTGGTGATCATTTTGCAATAATGCAAATATTGGATCATTATAATTTGAATCTGAAACTAATATAATGTTATATGTCAATTAAATCTCAATAAAAAATAATGAACTTTCGGCCATGCATCAAAAGTAAACAGAAACACAAAAATCACATGTGCATAAATCAAAGAGCTCTTCTCCTTCCAAGTGGGCACAAAATTCTTAATTACTTTGAGCTTGAGAGGAGCAAAAAAATACGTTGTCTATTGCCCAATAGAAAATAAATCTCTATAACAATTATTCCATTAAAGAATCACAAAATGGTTAAGCAATAAAACCAAGTTCTTGATCATTGCTGCCACCAATGGTTATTGGCCATAAAAGAACCAAAATGAAAACCAAAAGCAAAATCAGTACATAGGAAAATTAAAACTAGAAAAAAGAAAATGTCTGCAAAGTTCTATTGCCACCTTGAATTCATCTCTGGGGTCAAAGAAAAAATGTACCTGGTATACTTCCCTCAATATTCTCTAAAGATGAATCTTTTGGACATCTTGGCAAAGACTTCCAAAACTATTAAAATATCATTTTCAGAGAAGGGTGAATTAATAAGCTTCATATATGTATAAAAATAAACTCACATTAAAGGTTTCTTTAATCATTGACAAGGAACTGGTGAGGTTCAAAGGAAAATCAAAGAAAAGAACCACATATATGGATCAGGGATATTGAAGTGAAGGTGCAAATGTAAGCAAAACTGACCTTTTCCACAGTGGGGGAGGAAGTCAGTGGAACCTTCTCTGAGAATTAACGTGTGTAAATAAGGATTCTATTGAATTGCTATCACTTATCTACAGAGTTGCAAAATAGCTCCAAGAGGATCAGAAGATGTGGAAGACTATGCTATAAGATTATGCATAGTTTTCCACTGAAGTACAAAATTTCCCTGAAACAGCTATTATTCAAATTAGGAGAACCATCTAGGAGGACTTTACACCAACTGCCATGGCCCATGGATCCCTTAAACCAGCCCCATAGCAGACTGATACAACTGCTTTTCTCTTCTTTCCAAGTCATTAAAACACAGCGGTGTACTGTAGGTGTGGAGAGCCAATTCTGGAGTCAGAACTGTATTTGGATACTAAACTCCATCATATGGTAGCTCTGAGATACTAGCCAATTTATGTATCTTCTCTAAGCTACAATTTTGTCACCTATGAAACTAGAATAGTAATACAGCCAGTGTAGAGCATATATGTAGATTAAGTGAAATAATGTGTGTAAAGCACCTAGTCCAGTGCCCGGAAAACACAAGTATTTAAGAAATAGTATCTAGTAACTATATGACACTTGGTAATTAAAATGACAAATCATTATTTTTTTTTGATGGTTATAAATTATCTCATTTAATCCTCATAATAATACTATGAAGAGTTTGCTGTTATTCCCATTTGACAGATAAGAAACTGGAAACTCAGATAATAAAGTATCCAACTTAAGAAACTTTAATAGAGTTAGTTAAAAACACAACAAAACAAATAACAAAAGGTATGTCAAAAAAGGAAAATGTTTAGATCACTCATATTTCTACCTTTCTGTGGTTACTACTGTGAACCAAATCATTCTTTAAAGATGGGTGATACTTGTAGTCATTCCTAGACAGACATTACTCTATTACACTGCTCCTTTACATTTGATAGTAAATAGGACACTTTCACATATTATTTTAGCCTGTGTCCAAGTGAAAATTATAGATTACAATATGTAAACATATACTATATGTACATGTGCTTATCACAGCTAGTGTGCATTAAAGAATCTGTATTCATTCAAAACTGATAAATTATCCACAGATATTAATTCCTCTATTATAAATTAGATTGTTCACTTCAGTGATATCAAATAGTTCACTGGAAGCCATTTAACATATCAAAATTGTGCTTGTGTACCTGGCAGAGTGATCAATTATGTACAATTGTCCTTGAATTCTCTAATTTTCTGAAGACTATAGTTGTGGTAAGAGACCTAAATAAAAATAGATAAACCATAGGAAATAGCAAGTAATATAAATATAATAAAAACTGGATTCAGTTCCAATGCTAACTCTGTTGGGTAGCTGTTGACTTTTCAGATCTTAAGGATGTATGTTGTTAAAAGCAATATCATGTAGTGGCTGACAGTAGGGACTCAAGAGTCAGACTGCCTAGGTTGGAATTCCTGCTCCATCAGTGATTAGCTGTATAACCTCAGATAAGTAACTAACTGAATCTCTCAGTTCTTCAATTCCCTCCTCTGTAAAATGCAGATAATAAGAGAGCTAACATTTAAGTTCACTGCAAAATAATGTTAAATGAGATAATAGTATTAAAATACTTATAACAGTGCCTGATACATACTAAGTACTCCATAAATGTTGGTTACTTTTATTGTGATGATGCAGCAGTTAAGGCTTGAGAGAGTTGACCATTTTTGTAACTAATCTTTGAGGTTGTTCTGAATGTCCCATATCTTTGCTCTGTTATAGTCGGATGAATCCTTGTCTATTTTTAAGGAAGCCTCAACTGATCCTATCAGAGTGCTCAGCTGGCTCCGCAGAGACCTGGAAAAAAGTACAGCAGGGTTCCAAGATGCTAGGTTCAAGCCTGGAGAATCCTCACTTGGCGGGGAAATGAGCAACCCAGGAGGAGACCCCCACAGTGGTTTTTCTGTGGACTATTACAATACCACAACCAAGGGCAGTCCAGGAAGATTGCATTTTGAGATGATGCACAGAGAAAACCCTGTCCAGGGCCCCAGTGTCCCACTTGGTAATGGGAGTTCAGTAGATGAAGTTTCCTTCTATGCTAATCGCCTCACAAATCTAGTCATAGCCATGGCCCGCAAGGAGATCAATGAGAGGATAGATGGCTCTGAAAACAAATGTGTCCACCAGTCATTGTACATAGGAGATGAGCCCATACCCAACAAAAGCTTGAGTAAGGTGGCATCAGATCTGGTGAACAAGACAGTCTCTGCATGTTCCAAGAATGCTACCTCAGATAAGACTCCTGGCTCTGGTGACAGAGCCTCAGGATTATTACGGAGTCCCCCACATTTGAAATATAAGACCACTCTGAAGATGAAGGAGAGCACCAAAGAAAGCAAGGGTCCAGATGACAAGCCTGCTTCTAAGAAGTCTTTCTTCTATAAGGAGGTGTTTGAATCTCGTAACGCAGGTGATGCCAAAGAGGGTGGAAGGTTATCTGGGGAGAGAAAGATGTTCAGAGGGCAAGAAAGGCCCGATGACTTTACAGCTTCTGTTAGTCAAGGGATAATGACCTATGCTAACAGTGTGGTTTCTGATATGATGGTTTCCATTATGAAGACACTGAAGATCCAAGTGAAGGACACAACTATTGCCACCATCCTGCTAAAGAAGGTACTGCTCAAGCATGCAAAAGAGGTCGTCTCAGATCTCATTGACTCCTTCATGAAGAACCTCCACAGTGTCACAGGGACCCTCATGACTGATTCAGATTTTGTCTCAGCTGTGAAAAGAAGTTTATTCTCTCACGGAAGCCAGAAGGCCACAGATATCATGGATGCCATGCTGGGTAAGCTATACACTGTGATGTTTGCAAAGAAACCTCCAGAAATTATCAGGAAAACCAAGGACAAGTCTGAGAGTTACTCCCTTGTCTCCATGAAAGGAATGGGTGACCCTAAGAAACAAAATGTAAACTTTGCATCAATGAAATCTGAAGGTAAATTGAGGGAAAAAATGTACTCTCCCGCATCCAAACCAGAAAAGAAGACTTGTGCCGAAACTCTGGGTGAACACATTATCAAAGAGGGATTGAGCTTTTGGCATAAAAATCAGCAAAAAGAAGGAAAATCTCTGGGTTTCCAACAGGCAACATTTGCAGCTCCCAACAAACAGTATAAGCCTGTACCAGACATTCCCCTGGGATATCCTCTGGATACTTGCAACCTCAGCCCCCCTATACAATGCCGAGAGAAACCTGAGAATTTTATGTGTGATTCAGACTCCTTGGCCAAGGACCTGATCGTATCAGCCTTACTTCTGATTCAGTACCACCTGGCACAGGGAGGAAGCATGGATGCACAGAGCTTCCTTGAAGCTGCTGGCAGCACCAACCTGCCTGCCAACAAGTCCCCTGAAGTTTCTGATGAGTCCAGCCTTAAGTCTCCTCATATGGGAGGTGACCAAGATGAAGCAGAAAAGAAGGATCTAAAGAGTGTTTTCTTTAACTTTATCCGGAATTTACTTGGTGAGACCATTTTCAAGAGTGACCATAGCTCTGAACCCAAGGTACCAGAACAGCCAGTTAAGGAAGAATATAACTACCAGTGTGAAAGACCTGTAACCCCTTCTTCCATCAAATTAAGTGAAGGTGATGAGGCTGGTGGTACCTTTGCTGGGCTGACCAAGATGGTTGTTAACCAACTAGATGGCCACATGAATGGGCAGATGGTAGAATATCTGATGGATTCAGTGATGAAATTATGTCTCATTATTGCCAAGTCCTGTGACTCTCCCTTGGCAGAGCTGGGCGATGATAAGTCTGGGGATGCAAGCAGGCCAACTTCAGCCTTCCCAGATAATTTATATGAGTGTTTACCAGTCAAGGGCACAGGGACAGCAGAGGCTGTCCTGCAGAATGCCTATCAAGCTATCCATAATGAATTGAGAGGTATATCAGGACAGCCCCCTGAAGGGTATGCAGCACCCAAAGTGATTGTCAGCAATCATAACCTAACTGACACAGTTCAGAACAAGCAACTCCAAGCTGTACTTCAGTGGGTAGCCGCCTCTGAACTCAATGTCCCTATTTTGTACTTTGCTGGTGATGATGAAGGAATCCAGGAGAAGGTAAGGAAGTAGAGTCAGAGGAATTTGGAGAGATCTATTAAGGGTTAACTAGGGTTTTAAGTTCTGTTTTCTTTCTGAATGGGAAGATAGCCACAAGAAGGGTAGAATGGGGACAGCAAGAATTTGAAGATGCCTCTTGGAAGAAATAACGGATAAAGTAAAATTAGATTTTGCCCAATAGGAAGCATATCAAATGGGGAAAAGAGGGATAGATCTTATATAATCACATATATAAGTGGGATAAGTTTTATATTCATCACATATCATGTATGTGATATGTATGTGTGTATGTGTGTGTCTATATATATATACATGTATTTTTCTGCATGTATTGTTGGGAATGCACAGGTAAAAAACCTCTAAGAGGTTTAGCAAGAGTCAGATAAAGGTCTGGGCCTCAGGCTGAAGTTTGGATAAGACAGCATATTTCCCAAAGTATGAGAAGGAGCTGCTTGGAGGCATGCCGGGGATGTGTTAAGGGAGTTGGGAGTGGGGTAAAGAATCCAGGCTCATACCCTTTCAAACCTGTGATTATTCTCTCAGCTGATTGTCTAGGAAGTATTGGGGATTTGAAGGGATTCAATAAATAACATCCCTCTTCCCCATACTCTAAGTTCAATTGAGAAATAAGAGTAAAGAATAAGGCAGATGGGAAACCCAAGTTTTCACTGTTATTACTGGTAAAGGTAAGAGTGCCTTGTGCCTTCAAACTCCTTGCTTCTCCACGTATAGGCCTTGGAACTGCTTACTGAAGAAATGTGTGTGTGTGTGTGTGTGTGTGTGTGTGTGTGTGTGTGTGTGTGTGTGTGGTAGAACTGGTATATAACAAACACTACAGGCAGACCTCAAAGACATTGTGGGTTCTGTTCCACACCACTGCAATAAAGTCAAATTTTTTTGGTTTCCCAGTGCATATAAAAGTTATGCTTGCATTATAGTGTAGTCTATTAAGTGTGCACTAGCATTATTTCTTTAAAAAGTACATACTTTAAAAAATGCTTTATTGCTAAAAATGTTAACCATTTTTGAGCTCTTAGCAAGTATAATCACTAGTCAAGATCACTACAACAAATATAATAATAATGAAAAAGTTTGAAATATTGCAAAATCACCAAAATATAACACAGAGACAGAGTGAACAAATTCTGTTGGAAAATGGCACCAGTAGATTTGCTTAATGCAGGGTTGTCACAAATTTCACTTTGTTAAAAACACAATATCTGCAAAGCACAATAAAGCAAAGTATAATAAAACTAGTATACCTGCATATCTGTTTCAGGTATACAACATTATAATTCAATATCTGGATATACTATAAAGTGATTTTCACCGTAAGTCTAGTTACCATCCATCACCACATGATTCAACTCTTTCACCTATTTCACTCACTCCTAACCCAGTTTCCCTCTGATAACTACCAGTCTGTTTTCTATCTCTATGAGTTTGTTTTTGTTCTGTTATTTAGATTCAAGATATAAATCTGGAAATCATATAGTATTTGTCTTTCTCTGACTTATTCCACTTAGCATTACACCCTCGAGTTCCACCCTCAAGTTGTCACAACTGACAAGGTTTCCTCCTTTTTTATGGCTGAGTACTGTTCCATCACACACACACACACACACACACACACACACACACACACACACACACCCCATACCTTCTTTATCCATTTACCCGTTGAAGGACACTTGGGTTGTTTCCATATCTTGACTACTGTAAAAAATGCTGCAATGAACATACAGGTGCATATAGCTTTTCAAATTTGTGTTTTTGTATTCTTCAGATAAATACTCAGATGTGGAATTGCTGGATTATAGGGTAGTTCTATTTTTCATTTTTTGAAGAATTTCCATATCACTTGCCACAGTGCCTATACCAATTTACATTTCCACCAACAGTGTGTGAGGATTTCCTCTTCTCCACATCTTCTCCAATTCTTGTTATTTCTTGTCTTTTTTATAATAGCCATTCTAACAGGTATGAAGTGATATTTTATTGCGGTTTTGATTTGCTTTTCCCTGATAATTACTTCAATTAGATATTGAACATCTGTCTTCTTTCAAAAAATATCTATTCAGATCTTCTGCCCATTTTTTGTTGCATTATTCTTAAAATTTATTGAAATAAGGTTGGCATACAATGTATTAGTTTCAGATGTACAAAGTAGTAATTTTATAACTCTACACATTACTCAGTGCTCACCACAATAAGTGTAGTCACCATCTTTCACCATACAAGGTTATTACAATGTTATTGACTTCATTCCCCATGCTGGACTTTTCATCTCCATGACTTATTTATTGTATAACTAAAACCTTATACCTTTTCATCTCTTTCACCAGTTTTGCCACCCTCCACACTCCTTCCCTCTGGCAACCCCTAGTTTGTTCTCTGTATTTAAGAGTCTGTTTTTGTCTGTTTGTTTATTAATTTGTTTTGTTTTTTAGATTCCATATATAAATGAAATCATGCAATATTTGTCTTTCTCTAAATTATTTTTTAATCAGGTTGCTTGTGTTTTGTTGTTAAGTTGTAGGAGTCATATATTTTGAATATTAACCCCTGATCAGATGTGTAATGTGTAAATATTTTCTCCCATTCAATAGGCTGCCTTTTCATTTTGTTGATGGTTCTATTGTTCTGCAGAAGCTGTTTAGTTTGATGTAGTCCCTATTTGTTTCTGCTTTCATTTCCCTTGCCTTTGGAGTCAGACTCAAAAAAAAATCACTAAGACCAGTGTCATGGAACTTACCACTTGTGTCATCTAGGAATTTTATGGTTTCAGGTCTTCTATTCAAGTATTTAATCCATTTGAGTTAATTTTTTATATGATGTAAGGTAGTGGCCTAGTTTCATACTTTTGCATGTAGCTGTCCAGTTTACTGAGCACCATTTATTGAATAAACTGTTCTTTCCTTGTTGCATATTCTAGGCTCCTTTTTGTAAATTAATTGACTATATATGTGTGGGCTTATTTCTGGGCTCTCCATTCTGTTCCATTGACTTATGTGTCTGTTTTTAGTGGCAAAACCATACTTTTTTGATTAGTATAGCTTTGTAGCGCAGTTTAAAATCAGCAAGCATGGTACATTCAGGTTTGTTTTTTCCTTCTCAAGACTGCTTTGGCTATGTGGGGCCTTTTGTGGTTCCTTACAAATTTTAGAATTATTTGTTTTAGTTCTGTGAAAAATGCCACTGGATTTTGATACATATTGCATTGAATCTGTAGATTGTTTTGGGTAGTATGGACATTTTAACAATGTTAGTTCTTCCAATCCATGAGCACAGGATACCTTTACATTTATTTGTGTCATCTTCAATTTCTTTTATCAGTGTCTTACAATTTTCATTTCACAGTACTTTCAATTTTTTGGTTAAATTTATTTCTAGGTATTTTATCCTTTTGATGCAATTGTAAATAGGATTGTTTTAATTTCTCTTTTTAGTAATTTGTTATTATTGTATAGAAACAAAACAGATATCTGTATATTGATTTTTTTCCTGCAACTTTACTTAATTTCATAAATTAGTTCTGACAGGTTTTTGATGGTGTCTTTAGGGATATATATATATATTCATGTCATCTGTAATTAGAGAGAATTTTGCTTCTTCCTTTCTGATTTGGATGCCCTTCATTTCCTTTTCTTGCTTAATTTCTGTGACTAGGACTTCCAATAATATGTTGAATAAAAGTGGCTAGAGCATTCTTGTCTTGTTCCTGATCTCAGAGGAAAAGCTTTCAACTATTCACCATTGAGTATGATATTAGCTGTGGCTTTGTCATATAAAGCCTTCATTGTATTGACGTAGGTTCCTTCTATACCCACTTTGTTGAGTGCTTTTTATCATAAGTGGGTATTAAATTTTGTCACATGCTTCTTTCTGCATTTATTGAGATGATCATATAATTTTAATCTTTTATTTTGTTAATGTGGTATATCATATTGATTCATTGGTAAATGTTGAGCCATCCTTGCATCCTTGGAATAAATGCCACTTGAGCATGGTGTATGATTCTTCTATTGTAATGTTGAATTTGGTTTGCTAATATTTTGTAGAGGATGTTGTATCTATGTTCATTTAGGGATGTTGGCCTCTGATTTGTTTTTCTGGTGTCCTTATATGGTTTTGGTATCAAGGTAATGCCTGACCTGTACAATGAGTTTGGAAGTGTTCTCTCCTCTTCAATTTTTTTGGAATAGTTTGAGAAAGACAGGTATTAAATCTTCTTTGAATGTCTGGTAGAATTCACCAGTGAAGCCATCTGGTCCTGGACTTTTGTTTGTTGAATCAGATTACTGACTCAATCTCTTTGCTAGAAATCGGTCTATTCAGATTTTCTTCATGATCCAGCCTTGAAAGAGTATATGTTTCTAGGAATTTATACATTTCTTCTAGGTTGTCCAATTTTCTGGCATGTAGTTTTTCATAGTACACTCTTATAACCCTTGGTATTTCTGTAGTATCAGTTGTAAACTTCTCCTCTTTCATTTCTGATTTTATTTGAGCCCGGTGTGTGTGTCCTTAGATCTGAGGTAAATCTCTTGCAGGCAACAAACAAATGGGTCTTGTGGGCTTTTTAAATCCAATTTCATGATTATTTTCTGTTTTTGTTGTTCCTCTCTGTTCCTTTCTTCTCTTGCTTTCTTCTCTTGTGGTTTGGTGATTTTTTTTAGCGTTACATTTAGAATTCTTTTTCATTGTCTTATGTGTATCTAGATTATTGCTTTATGGTTACCATAAGGTTTACATATAACATCCTATATTTACAACAGTCTATTTAAGTTGATAGCATCTTAAGTTTGAGCACATTTTTAAAATTCTACATTTTTGCACCTCCCCCATGTTCTGTATTTTTAATGTCCTAGTTTATATCTTTTTATTTTGTATTCCCTTAACTGTTATTATAGTTACACTGGATTTTGCTACTTTTGTCTTTTAACCTTTATACTAGCTTTATAAGTGGCTAATTCACTACCTTTACTAACATTTGCATT